TGTCAGCTGAGTTCAATTGTAGGCCAGTGATGTCCTTTCACTACTAAGGTACCGTTGTGCGTCGTCATTCGCGTTGTTGGTAAAACTGCCATGATTCCGAAGTGAGAAGGAAATGTCTTGCGCTTACTGCGGAATGGTTTACGGCGTGATCTAGTTCTTACCTCGAATGTGGCGAACATTTCTAGGGTTTCAATCTACAACACTTTGAGCAGTCGACTTCGAGTCCGGGTTTCGCTCATAAGAAGCAAACGATTACTTTCCGGTGAACAGCAGTTTACAATTACAACAACTGCGCACAGGCGATGGCTTCGATAACTTTTACCAGAACGAAAAAGGACAACGATCTCAGCGTTCATCAGTTCCACGTGGGGCAACAGATATAGAGTCGGTCTCGCCGTAGACACTGGATCGTGTCAGAGAGTGGAGTAGGGAGCTGGTTTGGTTTCTTGCCTGCTCTCTGTTGGTTAGGGAAGAGCGACAACATTCGGTGGAAAACAGGCTGGCGCAGTGCCAAACCCAACTTCCCTGGCACGCCCTAGCAATTGCAGCGAAAACGATTACACATACAAGCTTTTGTTCTCCCAGAGGAGCTCAATGCCATCTAGCCGCTACTTGAAGGCTTGGTGATAGGTATTCGGTTCGGACTTCGAGCTCCGAACGTGCAGTGCGGGTGGCCTACTTGTGCCCCGCCTCATATGTATTATGTCCATTGTATGTCTACATATATGTGAGAGACGCCTGCCTATTCTACCAATGTTGGTACAACGAGAAAATCAGAAACCCACCCAAAAAAACTGCAATGAGACAGGTATTTTGTGGTAAGTGATGCCGCCATTCGCGGCTCGCCATTCCGAGACTACCGTGGTCGAATTGAACTCGAATCATATTGAGGATGGTCATCTTTGTAAACGTATGGCACTGTGGGAGGGACGGCGAGGGGGTCACGACCACCACCACCCTATTGTTTGCGGAAATGCGTTCATTTGGAGCGCTCTGATGCGCTAGAATCCGCCCTCCAAGCGCCTCGTCTCGTCCTGCAGTCGATAATGACTGTTTCTGATGGCCTCCAGTTCAAAAGTTCCCTCTAGAAGTTTCCTGTAAAGTGTTCTTCAGTCGTCCTGAGCAAGATAGTGCGTCTGATCGTTTATCTGATAACCCCGGCCAAGGGGGTTGGATATTGCTGCAGTTTCATGGACTAGGTTTAGGAGCGAATGCCGCGCACGTGATGTCACATGCCAATCGCGATCAACCCGCGTCGCCCGCAACATGGATGTGACGTCCCTCACCTCACATGCCTGGTCATGAGCCCGAACGGCTTACTAGTCCCTCTTCGTTCCTTCGAATGTTTTGGAGAACTTGACATTTCTGACAATAATTCATTAAGCGTGTTGGTGGCTACTCAAAGACAGTGTTTCAATTCCCTTCAGAGCGTTTGCGCCTTGGATTGCTTTTTATAACATTCCCCTTGAGATTAACACATCACTTACGAGCGCTAACTAGCGAAACATTTTGTTTCTTCTGCTCAATAAAAAAAAAGAACGAGCAGAAAGAAGTACTGCGGTTCATTTGTACTTTCGAGACTCTAGAGGTTTGAAAAAAATTAGGTCCCTATAAAAACTTGCATGCTAAGAGCACTAAAGCTATGCGCTGCTGCACAAATATCAAATTCTCAAGGGTGATAGCGGACTTTTCAGGGCAACCGGATCTGTATGTTCCACAGCAATTTCTCGACGATTCTAAATGGACAACAAATACGTGGCGCATCCTGCCATTAGTGATCACTCCACTCATTTGGATTCACTAAATAATGAATGGAAACAAGGACGTTTTATACGTCGAAGGGCGATAAGGGCGGTAGGCTAGTGTAGTGACAAGTGGCGCATAACGGTCCGGTCGTCAATCCTACACCGGCTTCCACCAAGACCAACGAAGCATTATACCCTACAGGAACGGCAAGCTGCTGAGGAGATGCGTCGGGAAGGATAAGAACACTGCCTCGTACATCGGCTGGCCACCGTAAGTCGCTGTTTTGGCCACATCGCATTCAATGATCCATAACAATTTTGGTGGAAGAAGAACGCATCCCAAATGCCGCATCCCAAAAAGGATCAATCAACGTCCTCTAGCCTTTGATATGGGGCCATACCTGCCAAAAGCTCGCTGCCGATCTACAGGCATCTGACAACGCACGCTTACGCTGACAGCGCTTGGCTGCTACGTTGCCAATGAATGTGGGGGAAGGGGAGGGCGCTCTCATATAAACATTTCAGAAAACTCCGAGATGCCCTCGATACATGAAGTCCCTAACAAACAGAACGTGCTCTTCAACAGCCTTTCCGTTTTTCGAACTTTGGCTTCCAAAAGTGCATCGAAAATCTTCCAAGGACATTTTTTCGTCGTCAGAGCGGCGAAAAAACTGCCCGCTGTTCAGCGCTCAGTGGTAAAGTAATCTCATGGGGGTTTGAACTATGAACAAGCGGGAAATTCCAAAGGGAAGGGAAGAGGCTTGACAAACGAGCTCAGCACTGCAATCCTTTCTGATTCTTTCTGAGGAGAAAAGAAGCTAGGGGAGAGCGGGTCGTGGGGATTTCTTATTCGTCATATCTCGTAAATAGGGGGAGGGGTTCATCTTCAGCATATTGCATGAATGTAGAAAGACCAAAGGACTGATCCGCTCCAGTTTTTCACTACAGAAGGATTCCTTGGAATAACACTCAAATTTGACTTGCTCATTCTGCCAAATGCAGGAATTTAGTATTGGTTTTCAGAGTGGGTCAGACCGGCGCTCATTTTCGGATATAAAAGAAAATGTGATAATGCCACCAAATTAGGACGGATACCGATCTTTAGGTCCGCATTACGGAAGAAGTGCTTCGCCTGTAATGAAAAAAAGGCGATGAAGGGAGGAAATTTTCATCACTGATCAATTGCGGCAGCATTCTTCTTCCTGAATCATAGTGGCCTACTGGATTCGATATGCCCTACAATGACTTGCAGAGGCCAGCCAATGTACAACTAGTGTCTTTAATCTTATGAGCAAAATCTAATACCAATTCACCTTTCTCTGAAGGCGGAAGGCTGGATAGAACAGATGCGAAACTGTGAGACGGGAATTCGACTCTGAGCCCGTAGCAAGCGTGCCACTACACCACCGCCGCCTCAGCACTGCTCCTTAGCACTACATACAGGGGGGAGCAAAAAAGGCTTTTTTCTTCCTTCACTTTCGAAACGCTATAAGTTACACTTCTTACCATTCATAATTAAACAGCCATATTTAAAGGCAGCGTCCGCGATCAACCAAAGTGAAAAAACCCTCCATTGAAAACGAACGCGGAGTCCGCAATCACAGCAGAAATCCCACTCTTGCGGCTCGAAATCGATTGGTTGACGAGGGCGGAGTCAACAGAGCCGGGCTGACGCCTCCTGTCCTGTTAATCCCGCCCCGACTGGTTGACAGTTATCAATGCTTGCTGGCATTGATATACGCTGAATTTCTAGAGTTCCGAGGCGGCGACGTGTATTGGAGAACTCACCAGAAGTTTGCGAAACTCGTCCACATGCCTTAAATTTCATAGGGTCTTATTTCACGCTCTTCCACACCTTTTTCCTGCTTTTTTTGATTAGTGCTTCATTGGCCACCTGTTCTAGCAAATGTGACCCCTGAAACCTGCCAAAGTCCATCGCGGGCGCTGTCTTTAATTACTTATCACAACACTCCGCCACAGCCTTCTGGACGAGCGCCATCGAGAGATTCTGCCACGCGACCGAGTGGGTGCCTGAGTTCAGCGAGATCGTTGATTTCTCCGCCACTGTAGACCACCCTATTGAACTCCGCCCGAACCAGGTAATTGAGGGTTTAGGTCAGGTGACCTGCTTAGATATTCCACCTTCTTCAGGTACTCAACGCCCTTCCATTCCAAGTAGGCAAGAGTTTTCCCAACGCCCTTTGATTCCATGTGGTGTCACCCAATCCTGTAGCAGTACAAAGTTTCCAAGAAGGTACGGGCGACGACATGTGGGAGGATATTCTTCTCGAGTTGCTCGATGTAACCGCCAGCGCTCACCTTCAGTCCGGGGCCACGAAGAAAATATCGGTCTCTCCATCCCAGGTACGTCCGGTCCCCACCATCAACTGGCGCCTTGGCGACTGAGGTGAAGATGATGTCCTAGACCGTAGCGACGTTGACGGAGCTGCTCGATGTTGGAGGTCATCCAGATCGAGAGTACTGGTCTCCAGGTAGCTATCCATGGGTGACTCCATACTAGAAGTTTCGCAGCTGTTTGGAGGTGACATGAATTCCAAAGGTCTTCTCCAGTCAGGCTGCGACTGGAGATGACCTCATATTTTGGTGTACATGAAGGTGATGGGCGAGGCCAGCTCCTGCTTATCGAGGAACATCTTGGGTATCTTCCGCCCTGGTACTCGTATCCACGTCCTCTGTCTGGGCTGCGAAAACTTTGCTGATATGTGACTCGGTCGAAATGTCTTTTTTTGCCCCCCCTGTGTACACCGAATCCCTGAGATGCGGTAGGCCATGGTCATGCAGCTTCGGCGGCTGCGTTCCTTGTAGGATTTTCTCATCTCGAGACAGATACCTTATGTGAAATCATCTAAACCTTACAGAATGTTTAGATAAACACGTTCAAGACTGAAAAATGAAATGGTAACAAGTTTTCGCTCTCAACTTCGAAGTGAAATGTTTCAGAGTGGGTGGAAACTGAACAATGAACTAAGGAACGTATCCTGAAGCAGCGAGATTTCAATGAGTCATCTCGCAAGGATAAGCAGGGGCACTACTTTGAAATCGCCGCGCATCAAACTGTGCCTATATCTCTTCATTTTTTTGGTTTCAAACGAATTTATGACATTGCGGCCCTCGCACTTTTCTTTCCTTTCCCACGAATTAATCTGTGGTTAAATTGGGAATGAAATCGTACTTCCGCGTTATTTGCAACGACTGTTGGAAACAAGTTGCATTTCGAAATTGTTTAAGGTTCTATTACTGTGCACAAATCTGCATTAAGTAAACAAATTGGACAAAAAACCAAAGCGAAGACATTATATCTGGATTTTGATGCTGCTTCAGCTTTACGTAAACACAACGTGCGTACATATGTGTATTGCACTAACAAGCAGCAAATTTACGAGCAAAAAGAAAAAAGAAAGTCTTGCCACCTGGTCCGTGAAAGAGACCAATAAGATGTTGGTGCCGTCGAGCCGAGCTTTTGCAGGCATACTTACAGCTTTCCTGCGGATGAAGGGGCGTGTCCGGCGCTTGATTTCTGGTGCGCTGCCAAACTCATTCGCGCTGACCGCTCTCACCACTTATTGGGAAGAAAAGTAAGCGACAAGTAAGGAGAAAGCAATGCGTGCGAACGGTTGTACTATGTTACGTATTGTCGCTGCTTGCTCAAACAGCTGGCATGAAAATGTTTGGCACAGCGCCAAACCCGTATCACCTGGTTAGTGCAGTTGACGTTGGATGATGTATGTATCAAGATGGCAGGAAACTAGTTTCTGCGCAAGGCCATGGTGCTCCCAACCGACATGCACGATTCTTCCACGCCACGTCCATACTGGACGGACCGGAAAATCCGCGTTGCCAGGGAATCGGCGACCGGGATTCGATGAATCCCACCTACTAGCGGTTCCGGAATCCGCGATTCAGGAATAGGCCCAATTCCTGATAAACGGTGACAACAGAGAGGATGTGAATCAACTGAGTTTCCGCAGCGGATTCATTGGAAATTCTCCCAAATTCTTCAAACGCAATACGATTAATTCCCGCGGATCCCTCGAAGATGTCGCTTCCGCCAAATCGAGGACTACTGTACAGCGAATAATGGAAAATGTTTCACGAAAATATGGAAAAGACTTACCCCAAAGTACATATTATGGTGAGTTGGGTGGTGATTCGAGTAGGACGAGTTGTAAGCACCATGTTCATGTGAGATCTCCTAAACCAACAATACGAATATGGCGCTAACGTACCTGGGGGGGGGGGGGGGAAGATCGAGCTCGCCGGCACCTCCGCGCCTCTTTTTCTATACGAGGCTTAGGCACAGTCTTTGCTGTGGGACTATCCCTTGGTGCGCTCTAAGCCTGAGGTTTCTGAAGAAGAGAGAAGGCGTTTCTGGAGAAGAAGCGCGTCTGAGTGGTCTCCCCCATCCCTCCCCCCCCAACCACGTCGGCGCCACGAAAATCTACAACGTCCTGCATCGAATAAGACAAAGAATTTCACACCTTTTCCGGGAAGAAGTGCGCATAAAACTGATTGATCTCTCGTTGTGACGGACCACAGACAGTGGAAATGGACCGTCGAGGCGGTGGAGAACCCCAATCCGAAGTGGACGCCACGACTGTCGTCAAATCTAAACAGTAATGAAGTTATTGTACCAAAGTTAGAGCAAATCGAAAGAAATCGAAGCAACGAAATGACGGCAATTGCGCTGGAGAAGAAAAAAGCAACGGAAAGGAACAAAAGCGACAGAAAACCGTCCTGACGTCGCGAATACGTGAGATATTCGAGACAGATAACTAACGATACTGGTCGGATTGACCCGAAAATGAATTTTTTTCCCAGAAAAATGTAGAATAAAATTCAAACAGAAAATGCCAACAAAGAATAATGATTGACAGTTTTCACACAGCGAACGAGACAAAGTTTGAGAATAAAGAGGAAACCGCTTTTTACAAAAGCCTATTAAGGATCGCTAGACGGGTATACGAGTTTTCCGACTTTCATTAGCGCTTATTGAAAGTGCCAGGAACAAAGTAATATCTCCGAAGATTCCTTTCTCAGTTGTCTACTTGTATTTGCTATGCAAAATGACTTGTTAGGGCATCCGAAGTTGAAATCAAAGCCCGTGATCGTTCGCCATCAAAGATAGTGGATTGGGGGTCTGCGTATAGACGACAAGGTGCTGAGTGACTCGACAGTGAGGAAGAAAGCAGAAAAAAGCATGGCAACTGCTCTAGATAGGAACCCTATCGATTCCATTCGGTACGTGCCCGATTAACTCCATCTCCGACACTACGCCCCCATACGCACAGCTGACATCCTGATGAAAACCTGTGACCGTATAAGTGACGATCTTCATGCTTTTTCGTCCTGCAGCTTCGTTTTTCACTGAAAGGCGGGTCTGGAGGCGGAGTCACTGGAAAAAGGAGGCGTCACTGAACCTATACTGCGCTATAGCGCCCCTTCCTCACATTTCGCCGCGAAACCGTACAGAATTGTTCGTCGCGGACCATATTACCCTCCGACGCCTTATTTTCAACTTCAATACCTGATCGCGGACCGTGCCTTAAAAGGGTTATCAGGCGCTAATGGTATTATTTGGTCGCTGGCAAGAGGGAGGGGAGGGGAGGCGTTATATGTATCTTTGAGGAAATGTTTACCGTTGTTGGATTTTCTCTGTTTTCCCTATTTCAAATGTGCTACACATTTCCCCCTCCCGAAGCTCGTCCTCCCGCTGCGGAAACGTTCCGAGAAATACGACACCCCTCCCTTCCCCATCGTCCAGCTTCCCCATACCCTCCTACCACATTCTCCGGAGAATTTTCTAGTTTTCTCTCCAAAAATTCCACGGGAGGGGGGTGGCGGGTTTACAGCACATGTGAAACGGTAAAACGAGTGAAAAAAATGCGAAAAGTCGACAAGAGGAAGAAATTTTTCCGCAACGCGGCAGATCTCAAAGAAGCAAACACGACCCCTCCAATCCTATTGAAATTCTCCAAACAATGTGATAAGGCCCGTGAAACATGAAAAATCTCGAAAAGATCTTCTCAGACAAAAAGAATGTCCCCCTTCCTCCTTAGCCACCAAATTTGACTCCCCTCCTCGCTGGGGATTCCCCAGCGTAGAATATGGGAGGGTGATATTTAGCAAAAACAGGGTGATATTCCCTAACCGCGGGGCGTTCCCTGATTGCAATGGAAATAAGGACATTTGCCCGAGCCCGAAGTGGAAAAGAGCTCCGGTGGAAGAACCCATTTTAAGCACGTTACTTCTATGGAGATGCCTTCGCCGTTAGTTTTGCCCAAGCCTCAGACGTCCCCTCCAAGATTATTAGAGCCGGTTATCGTATTGAAACTAGAGCGAGCGATAGAGAGCATCATGTTACTGAGGAAAATATGATATACGGTAAAGGATAAAGTTCTGAGTGACGATTTATCCACATATTCCCAGAATCCTGCACAATTCTATTTCTATTCAGAATTGTAGTGGCATTTTTAATATGACGTAGCCTATAAAAATGAGTTGCGGGGAAGCCGATGTGCGAGTCAGTATTTTTATCTTTCCGACTGAGTTGTTTCCCAGTCCACTGCTCCGGAAGGATGGATGGCTCGCTTGGTCCAAGCGAGAGCAAGTCGAGAGCCTGGTAAATGGCGTTACTTGCCACTACACCCTCTCCCTCCGAGTTTAGTGAACTGAACTGAACAGTCAATTGCCTCAATAGGGTAAACCAGAACTTACTCCGAAGCTCATATTTCAAGCAAAATCAAAACAAGGGACCTATCTCGAGCTAGGGTGGGCATCTTCCTCTTCCCCCTTCCCCTCCTCTAGAACAGGAAGCGCAAATTATTGAAGCCACGGCTCTGCTGCTGGTAAAAGAAACAGCTGATCTGCGATGCCGCTGCTGCTTCTTTTTTTCAGAGAAAATTAAACCTAATAGGTAGTCTCTGCGGACAGGTTCGGGCGGCGTGTCAGTTGCGGCTGCGTTTGGCGCGATGGCCAAACCCCGTTCCAGTTTTGAAAGCGAACAAATGATATGACTGTATCATATATTACTCGTTTTCTACCACTTTTTGTCGCATGCGCGCTTCAACAAGAAGGCAGAGAACGGCCTTGACGCTGTGCACACTCATACTGGCTGACACGCCCAACCGTCCGCAGCGAAGTAGAGTGTAGATCACCCAGATAGATCAAAATTTCTCGTCTCCTATAGTATGCCACGAACTGGACTTTCCCAAGAAAGTGCTATATTTTCGAACTCACATACGTTCTGCATTACGGCCGGGGGGGGGGAGGTATCACAACAGCCGTTTTTTTCAGCCTCCCAAGCAAAATTTACCAAGTAGCTGGCTGAGGTCAGGTTAGTGCAATAGTTCATGTCTGTTTTATAAAGAAATCGCAACTCATCTCGCAATCATCAATCACAACTAACTTTTTAATTTTCCCAAATCAAATTCTTTTAATTTTTAATAGCTTATTTTTTTACTCCGCGCGCGCTATCCACATCAAAACTTAGGTGGGATGGGGGAGTCGTATTTTGCGGAAATTTTCCTCAGCGACAAGACACGCCTTGACTTTAGTTCATGAGAAATGTTACAGAAATTCCAGGGATAATTCGGTTTTGCGCAACAGCAGGCATCGAAGAATAAGAAGCGTGGCTAGCTCAAGGTTCCATTTCCTGTCCTATAAAAGATAATTTGAAGTGCTAAATGTGACATTAATTTTGAGCACCGGCTCAAAGAATGAACGCAGTATACGTGATCGAAGGCACCAAGTAAGCCTTGAGGCGGAAGCAACAGCAAAAATTGACATTTCAGGGTTATTGCTGTTCCCAAAAAAGAAGTGGCCCTTTGCTTCTCCCTGGAATTCCTATTTTCCATACCGAATCTTGTCCTGCGTTTATTGGAAAATCCATCAAATTCCACAGTATTCCGCAAAAATACTTTTTGAAATGACAAAGTCAGATTTACACGTGAGGCTTACTACTTACTGTACTGATTTCATCACTAACCGAGGGTAGGCTGGGAATCCTCTCTCTGGCATGCCTTCAGCACCTACGTATGAGATGTTCCCTGTAA